TTACAGAATCCACATATTCCTGCCAGTTTTAATATCTATTTTGTAATCAACAAGTGTGTAACCCCGGTCAAAGTTTGACACTTCTCTGGCCATTATCTCCGTAACCGTTCAACTTTGGACATAGGTGTTTTGGGTTATATCGGCATACTTTAACATAAGGAACACCCTCCCGAAGTTTGGCACATTCCTCCTGGGACACCCTGTATACCTAGAAAGGAATCTATGAATCTTCAATATGGGTCATGCAGTCACTGTATATGACTCAAACAATTTTTGTATACATTCCCCTTGAAGGCTGAGACAGTGGGCCAAGTTTTTACATCCCTTCACCATCCTGTTCTTTCATCCATCATCTCACTACTGTTTCCTCATCTTTATCAGTCTGGGCCTCCCACACATTGCTTTATCTGTGTCAGGTGCTGAAGCACCATCTGAGAGCTACAATGGCAGAAAGGGCAGTGAAACAATGTTTGAAGAACAAGATACTGCCTTCTATGGACAGAAAAACTGAAAACTCAACCCATAGTATAAGTGTTGCAGTGATAATAAGAACTTATAAAAATGGCTGGCAAGCCAGTGACATCCATATCAAAGGTGCAGTGAACAGCTTCTTGATATGGTGAAATCCCTATTTAATGAATATCTAGGGGAACTGGTTCTTTTACACTAAAGAACTGAGGTTTTCACTAAACGGAAGTTACGCAAAATTACATCAAGAAAGTGTTCACCTTCTTATAAGACTTAATCAAATTATACCTTAATTTCTTTATGTAAGTAGTTACAGAAACTGCTTCTACACAAATATATAATAAATAATGTCAAATTAATTCCTAAAGTAATTAATTAAATATGAAATAAATACTGAAAGAACTTCAGCTGAGAATCTAAGCAACTATGATGCCACAAGCAGTGTGGTTTTTAGTCTGCGCTCAAAATGTGACATCACTTGCCTAAGTTTATGGCTGAGTGTCAATAATTTTCAGCAAGAGAAACATGTGAATACTGACTGTTATTTCAACTACAGTCACACTAAGTCATGATAAAATTCTGAAAGGTAAAGAATTATGCTAAATGCAGCTTATTTACTGCGTCAAAAATCATTGCACATTGGAAAATGATGCGTTGTTTACACTGGGCTTTGGTTCAGACCACACCAAAGATGTATGTAACATACGTGGTATGACCTCTCATATTAAATTTTACTACTGTTTCTGAAAATCTAGTATATGTAAAATCTGAGACCAGAAAAAGACTTGCCTGATGAATGATATGACTGCTCATATTAAATTTTACTGTTTTTTCTGGAAATCTCCTAGTGCACGTAAAATAAAAAGAAATTATTTTACGCAAGCTGTCCTAACAGCTGACAGGAGAAAGTTAAAGCATTAATTTTTTCATCACTCATACACACCGGTACCATATATGTATAGTGGATGAGACAGGATGGGGCAATGGCATACACTTCTTAGTGAATGCAGTGTCACATATGTTTTCACAAGGCACATTACCATTCTGAGAAAACATTTTAGTATTTGTTGGACACCCACATTAGTAGGAGCCATCTATTTAGCAACAAAACAAGATGTAAACCAATGTCATATTTATAAACATAAACAGTCACTTTGAAAGGTTACTGCTAGTTAGTTTCACACGTATGATCATACTCAAACAAGGTAGTAGGTTGGTGATAACTACTTAGAGAAATGAGAGAACTATAAGACTGTCATGTTGCAAGACTGCTTCCGCTCATACTTGAGATACACTGTGATGTCAAGAATACTATGTAACCAGCCATATTAATTACCAGGCTGTTACTGTGTATTCATTCCAAATACATCTGTCCATGCTAACAACACACTTTGTGTCATAACTTTAACAGCACATGCCTCAACCAAGAAACCTGACAATTCTGTGCACTGAGGACAGGAAGCATACAGCACTGAGAGGAAAATCTGACTAACACTGACTGGTTCAGGACTTACAACATGCCAATCAGTCCTACAGTATGACTATCACCTGCCAACTTGTCTGATACTTAGTACAGTAACCAATAATCCCAAAACATATCATCACACATTGATCATATGATCTCTTTAAAATTCTATAATAATTCAGATTCCTAACATCAGCTTTATTTACCAGAAGAGAAGCCCCTAATCAAACGCTATCTGAATAATGTATTTTGGGAAGTGTTACTTTTGAATTAAATTACAGCCCTCACCTAATCACTCTAGGTGGTGAGGTAGGAGTTTGAAGTTGGGAGGTGGCATTTTCAGTAGGACCAGAACTCCAGCCAAAAAACTTCCCAAAAAAACCCTCACTGTTTTCTTGGTGTCTCCAGGGTCTGCAAAATGCACAAGACCCATACTTTACACTTTTTATACAAACGGAGAGAGCACTGATACTTAGTTTCAGACAGCTGTATTCACTTCCTTCACACACAACGTTTTCAGTTCCACACATTTAAATCCTCTGAGGGACAGTGGTTTCATTGTGAAATCAAACTTGAGAATAACCCTTCTTATATACCAGCCCAGTGCTTTACCACATTTAGAGTGGTGTCTACATTGTCCAATTTGTGTTTGAAATTCACAAGATTTCATGAACTTACAAATTACATCAAACTATCTATGAAATAAAAGCTTGATTTTCAATACAATCTAAAGTTTGTGACAATTATTTTAAAGATCTGTTTATGCTTTGAAGGGTTAAAATACAATCTGACTACCATGAAAATGAAATATTTTTTATTATTTCTGTGCTGTGGTTGTTGTTAAAAACTTGTGTATTTAACAACAATGTAACTAATTTATATTAAATCCAACCAGCTGCTTGACAAGATACATTATGATAATTTTAGATGAAGCACATTTTTAGACTTCTAAATGTGAACTTCATAAAAACTTAATTTTAATGATATGCGTGGAATATTAAGAATTTTAATAAAGAAATGAAAAACAATGTGCATAACACTGGTCTCTTAAAATTACTGCTTTCAGTGATCTTCACAAATCTCTCCAAGCTCTCTTAAGCAATGCTTAATTTTTCTAGTTTACTAATGTACAAAGAGTACTACTATGATGTTTGAAGTCATACACCTGCATCATATAAAAATCAAACATCCTCTTTTCATGCAGCCCAGCACACTATGTACTATCAACCAGAATTGCATTTTAGACATTCAGGCTGACTGCTTCTGAGACATTATATAAAAAAATACTTGTTATAAACATGTGACTTAAATGTAAGTTTGTTTCCAAAGCTGTGGTCAATGGCATGCTTTACAGTTACCAGGATGCAAAATGAAAGTTATTTTAACTTGCAACATAATCCTTTTCTGGGTGCACAATGCAAATAATTGATAGTCACCATTAAAAAGATCCATTCCTTTTCAACATAATTTAGAATAAACAAGAAAACATTGTCATTATCTGTGATAATACTGTTACTTTTTTACAGTGAAGCTTGAGAATTGTCAGTATATAGTGCCATGTTGTTGCTTTATTTCTGTTGGAGTAGAAATTCCAGTACTGTACTGTGTGCTCTTCCACATCTCAAAAGCTACAGCTATGCACAAGGTAATAATTTGTTCCCATTCTCATTAATTCTGAAATTAATATCACATTAACAAATTTAGAAGAGGCACAATTTTAGAAGTGCTACAATAGCTTTGCATGACAGTGTGTCGAAAAGACACTTGACACTGAATGTTACGTAGATGCAATTTTAAGGAAAAACATAAGAATGTCTTCAACACTGACATAAACAAATCATACTGCCTCTGGATGCAGAGGCCTCAATTTACTTTAATTTATGTGATTTACTACAAATTTCCTGGTGGACAATCAACTGTTAACTAAATTAAAATGAAAAAAGTAACACATAACAAAATTTCCATAATCTATAAAACATAATAAAAACATTTAATTTCACAGAGTAACATAATGTACCAAAGTCCAAAATTCCAACAATCACCATGGACACAAGTATGTAACAATGTAGCTGGTTTTAATTTCTTTTAATTCTTATTGCTTTGCCATGAAAATAAAACTGAAGTATGCTGAATGTTACTTATTTGCACTGCATATCAAAGAGAACTTGTTACAGTGTTATATTATTAGACCCAGATTCACGGAAAGCCATCTTTATGAGAACGTTTCATTGCTCCAGGGCATAAAGTAATAAAGGACAATGAAAGAAAAGAAACTCTCTGAATGTGGGCCACCCCAAGTAACAATGTGCAGTACATGCATATAATGAATTTCCAACTTGTACTCCGCAGAAGTAATTGTGTTAAATGGAAACCTGTATGGAATAAACAGATTTTGCTGCAGTTCACTGACAGCAACACTGAGTCTGGATAATGTGGTGCCATTTGACATCACCGAATATATTCCCCCTATCACCAGTGGCAGACTTACCTAACGTCTCGTGATCCATTAAGCGTGGTGTTAAAGCGAGGCTGCACGTAAGTCCAGGAACCTTGGTTCTTGGCCTCTTCCTGGGCCCAACACAAAGCGGCATTTGGATACTTCGCACATTCCTTCTTCACTAAGTCATAGGGGAATGGGGAGATCTGCGAGAAGAGAATGAAACAAACATCTGAGGTCATGTGCACTATATTGTGGAAGTCTGCAATAATACTGAATACTACAATATAAAAATATAAATTGTACCTGTTCCACTCTTGCAATGGCAATATCCTTCTCAAGTTTCTTCTCATTACGAGCTTTCTTCAAGTCATAATACACTTTGCCCGAACAAAATAGCAACTTCTTCACACCACTGGGGTTCTCAGTTGCTGCTCCTTCCTCTGGAATCACCCTGCCACAATCAGGTAACATAAATAGTCACTTCATAACTTGCAAACTGATATCACTATTTCAGCCCTTTTCTCCTAACATTTTGTTAATGTTCAGGGCCTGTGTGGTTTATAGTTATACTGTCACATTCTTGGGGCATGCCGTAGTGTAGTTGGTTGAGGCACTATGCTATAACATGGAAGGTCGCACAGTTATGAGTCCCAAATGAGGTGGATTTTTTTTCAATTTACCTAATCCTTCCAGCTGCACTATGGCCCTGGGGTTGACTCAGCCTCTAACGGAAACGAGTACCAGGAATGTTCCTTGGGGGTAAAGGGCAGCTGGCATGTAAGGTTAATCTTACCACTACCTGTGAGCCAAATGTCTGGAGAAAATGTGGGAGCCTTGATGTCTCACAACCTTATGGGCCTTCACAGCCTCTTACTCGTACAGGGAAAGCTGTACCCTTTTTTTACCCTTTACTGTCACACTCTCATTAGCACTATTAGTACTAAATCTGTTAGTCGACACTCTGGCCATGATCAGGTACTATTTTGATATTTTCCATGAGCTGGTACACTGTCAGCATGTGTATTCCATTCATAAATCATGTACCTTATAAAACAAGTTCTCAGGATTAACTGCCTACTTTCCTTTCACTGTAATTTGAGTACCTGATATGACAGGTAGAAAGAAAATGTTAGTGTGCATGTGTAATGAAGTCAATAAAACAATACAGTCTGGTAGACTGTAGTGTTGGTATTACTGATTGATGGGAATGATTTATGAAGTCCACCATTGAGATGGCCTCATATACAGAGGGGTCCAAAAAATGTACCGTAACTGGTCAGGTGTATCTCGATATACTTCAGACATTGATTGTCCCTGCCATTTGAGAGCTGTTTGGAGATGAGAGATTTTACCTACAACAAGATGGTGCTTCACATCACTACCATCGAGATGTCAGGGCATACTTTGATGACACTCTCCATCAGGCATGTCAAACTCAACTTGTACAGAGGGTCACCTCAGCCCTATAAATAATAGTCCAGGGCCGCACTTCAAAATGGAAATATACATTAGATTTTGAGACAAGGAAATTTAATTCTATTTATTATTTAGGAATAATTTCAATATAATTACCTAAAGTCACATATCTTACAGTTTTAAAAAGCAAGAGAATGCCATTTTTGACAAGTATCAAACAGCTTTTCAATATGTAAAAAGAGAGATTACACAAGAAATTATGTTAGAAATAGCAAAACATTGAATTTCCTGCAGCCTGCTAATTTATGTCTGCATGAGACTTCTTGTCTTCTGGTCTGCTGGAAAATTGTCTTTACAAAAAATATTTCTACTAAAATTTTAATATTGATTTTATTATCAATTAGCTCTAAAAGTTGAGGGGCCGCATGTTTGACACGGCTGCTCTACGTGGACGATGGATAGGTCAAAGAGGTGCTATTGGGTACCCACCACGGTCTCCAGACCTAACACCTCTTGACTTCTACCTATGGGGAACCTTGAAGGATGAAGTTTATCGACAAAAGCCAGCTACACTGAACGCGCTATGAGACACCATTGCAGCATCGTGTACAGCCATCACACTGGACACACTGACAGCCGAAGTTCAGCGGCATCGACACTGTTTAGCCGCTGGTGGTGGTCACTTTGAACACATACAATGACTCTTTCTCTGCGCAAGAATTGTAACTACATGTCATTTTGTTCCAAAGAGTGGGTACATTTTTTTGGACCCCTGTGTATGTACCAAGTTTCATGAAGAATGGTTTGTGCATTCATGTCATATTAAGGTTATTACCTCAACAATTTCAGTGCTAGTGTTAGTACTACTGATAAGAAGGATTTATGATGTATGCAACTGAGAGCCTCAGGTGGCATGATATATGCATACCAAGTTTCATGAAGATTGGTACAGGCATTGAAGCAATATTAAGTGTTTCCTTGAGAGGCTTCAATGTTGGTATTAATGATATTTATGATGTATGCCATTAAGACGACTTCATGTGGCATGATATATTTATGAAGTTTCATGGAGACTGGTACAGACATTCAAGCAATATCGGGGTTCTGCCTTAGCAATTTGAAAGGCTCTAATATTGGTATTACGGATGGAAGGACTTTATGATGTATGTCACTGAAATGGGCTCAGGTGCCATTATATACATACAGTGTTTCATAAAGACTGGTTCTGGAATTCAAAGATTGTCTGGGAAGACACACAGCAAGGTGATCTCAAAAGCCTACTTTTATTTTTTCAAAAAAATAAACTAGGCTCAATACAGTAACATAACTATACTAAGAACCAGAATGACACTGAAGTATACTAATTTTATAAACCTTTAAGTGAATAAAGCTTGAATTCTAACTGTCAGGTTTAATTTTAATTAATCTCTTAACTTCAAAAAAAGATGACAATATAAATACAAAGTGTACCAGCTCCCATGCAATATCAAGAGAGAATTTGACGATGGTCATACTATTGATCAAAATGTTTGAGACTAATTGAGCTAAGAAGTGAATGTCAGTGACTAAAAAACACACAGATGCTGAACGTTAACAAAATATTGTGAAAAAAGGACTGAAATAATGATGATAATTTATTACATCAGCCAGGATAGCGCAGTCGGTATAGCAACTGGTTATGGCCTGGACAACCAAGGGGTTGGAGCTCAAGTCCCCACAGGGTCAAGAATTTTCTCTTCCACGTTGTCCAGGCTGGCTCTGAGGCCCACCCAGCCTCCTATCCAATGGAAACTGCGGGCTCTTTCCCTGGGAGTAAAGCGGCCAGGCTGTGAAGCTGACCACTCACCTCCAGCTAGTACTGAGGTCAAGAAAATGTGGATCTACACTTCCACTCTCCCATATGCCTTCATGGCACAGTGTTTAATTAATTAGTTAAGCACAAGGACAACTTCACTTAGCAGAATGCTTAAATATAGTATTAGAATTTGCAGTTATTTTACGTGCCCTTTACATAAAGAGTATACATTAAATGCTTAACAGAGAAGGTTGTGTAGGTCCAGATGTTTCATTTCTAAAACTGGTATTAGGGGTCTACACTGAATGGTATTGTGTAAAATCTATTTTGATCCATGTGAGTTCCATATAACATGGAATTTATATGAAGCTCATATTAAACATACCATATTACTCAAACATTGCTCACTGTATAAAAACAGTAGCACACGACATATAACGTAAATCTCACATCTGTAGCTTTTATTACACATATTTTTTGACATAGGGCATATATAATATATACAGGTCATAGTAGCCGAGTGGTCTAATGCATGTACTGTCTTCGTTCGCTTGGAAACCGGGATCGTGGGTTCGAATCCCACTCAGTGCATGGATGTTTAGTTTGTGTGTGTGTGCTTTTCTGTGTTTGTGTACAGGTAGAGGCCTTGCGATGAGCTGATCACCCACCCAAGGAGTCCCACTGAATGTGTGAGATCTAGAAAAACTGAAGTGAACAGAGAAGTTCATGGGGGTAGGACTAGGCCCACTGGGGCTGTAGTGCCAAGGAAAAAACAAATATATATATATATAATGAACGTAAGGACAAAATGATTTATGCTTATGTAGTTAGACTGCCTTATGGAGTAACTAGTTTTTGTCCTCAACAGATAAACATAAAGGACAATGAGGTCTATAAAGTCATTAAAACATGTATTTCAAGAGCACATTGTAAATGCAACAGACTAAAACTTTTGACATTCTTTATAGTGAGTTAAATCACCAGCACAGCCAAAATTTTAATGTTATACACATATAGAAAAATTATCAGGTCAAAAGCTAACCACTGTGCAGTGTTCTTAAAGATCAAGAATTTTGCTCAGGTTAAGTTTCACCTTTATAAAGCATTAGTACGCACAAGGTGTCATGCTAATTAGCTGCATTTAGAACCAGACTATAAAACAGCATATGGCCATTTAACCTTTAACGGGTGAATGCCACATATATATGATGCAAGCAGCAACCCGAGTTGGCCAAATGACATATATATGACGCAGGACACATGCTCTCTTTGGGAGTGCTGACAGTTTGACCTTGGGTTTGAACCAAAACAAACCTAGGTGAGGTCATGTCAGTGGTTCATTCCTTAGCTCTGAACAAAGAAATCGTTTATCAAGGTACTGGTTTCAAAACTACTTACGTTTAGATATAACTGTTTATGACCTGATCAGCCAAATACAGCCCAGCTTTGTTTTGAGAACTGATGAGGAAATATTCATCTGTGCTTGCATGCAAGTGCTTCCATAGCCTTCAAGGAAGTGTGACGCATGCAAGGATTTGGTTTCCAGTGACGAATTATCAGTTAGGAAGTCGGTGTCGGATTGTCTAATATTTCTTTATATATCATTTTTATTTTGCGTCTTGGAAGAGGTATAAACCCACTGAGCCAGTATTACTTTGTGAGTAAAAGGCATCTTCGCCACTCCGACTTTCGGTATCAGTGTCGGACTGGCACTCTTTTCGATTAGTATTATAATTACCTTGCATCACTATTTTGCAAGTACAGTAGAACTTTGTTATAACGTCATCAAAGGGACCTAAAAATAGTGTCGTTATAAACGAATGTCGTTGTAACCGAAATGGGCACTTCCACAGTAGCCTTATGTTAGTCACGTAAAAATCTACCAAAAACCGAGTTAAAATGTTGCATTTTTTAGTGAAATACGTAGTTAAGTACAGACTAACGTAACATTAACGTGGAATTGC